GGCAAAGATGGGGTATACAAATGGTAGAGGCTTGGGTAGGCAAGAACAAGGCAGAATAAAACCCATTACACAACACGGAAATCGGGGTAGAAAAGGACTGGGTTTTATTTAGGGGCCGTTGAGGCTTCACGACCCATACCATGGAAAACAGAGGAGCCGTTATGGGTCTCTCAATGGCCTCTATCCTCTGAAAAATTAGAGGCTGTCACAAGATTAGTGCAAGAACAGGAACGGCTGGGGCATCTAGAGCCTTCTACCTCCCCATGGAATACACCAATTTTTGTTATTAAGAAGAAATCTGGGAAGTGGAGATTACTCCACGACCTGCGGGCCATTAACAATCAGATGCATCTTTTTGGCCCTGTTCAAAGAGGCCTTCCTTTGCTTTCTGCACTTCCTCAAGATTGGAAGCTTATTATTATAGATATTAAGGATTGTTTCTTCTCTATTCCACTTTACCCACGGGATAGACCAAGGTTTGCCTTCACTATCCCTTCTCTTAATCATATGGAACCAGACAAGAGATTTCAGTGGAAGGTACTGCCGCAAGGCATGGCCAATAGCCCAACAATATGTCAGCTATATGTGCAGGAGGCTTTGGAGCCAATTAGGAAGCAATTTACATCTTTAATCGTTATCCATTATATGGACGATATTCTTATTTGTCACAAAGAGTTAGATGTTTTACAAAAGGCTTTTCCCATGCTGGTGGCTGAATTAAAACAGTGGGGATTAGAGATTGCCTCAGAAAAGGTTCAAATTGCAGATACAGGCCTCTTTTTGGGCTCAAAGATTACTCCCAAAAATATAGTTCCTCAGAAAATAGAAATTCGCAAAGACCACTTACAAACATTAAATGATTTTCAGAAACTTCTGGGAGATATAAATTGGTTGAGGCCCTTTTTAAAAATTCCATCTGCTGATCTAAAACCCCTCTTCGATCTCCTGGAGGGTGAGCCTCATATCTCCTCACCCAGAAAATTTACTCCCTGCCGCCCACCGAGCCTTACAGATGGTGGAAGAGGCCTTACAGGAAGCACAATTACAACGAATTGAGGAGTCACTACCTTTTAATCTGTGTGTTTTTAAGACAGCTCAATTGCCAACTGCAGTCCTGTGGCAACATGGACCATTACTTTGGATTCATCCAAATGCTTCCCCTGCTAAGATTATTGACTGGTACCCTGATGCTGTTGCACAGCTCGCGCTTCGCGGAATAAAAGCAGCTGTTACACATTTTGGCAGGGATCCTGATTCCTTGATTGTGCCTTATACTGCTGCACAAGTTCAGACCTTGGCAGCCACATCTAGTGATTGGGCAGTTTTAGTTACTTCCTTTTCAGGACAAATTGATAATCATTTTCCAAAGCATCCAATTTTACAGTTTGCCCTAAACCAGGCTATAGTGTTTCCACAAGTGACAGCTAAAGACCCACTCCCAGATGGGACTGTGGTGTACACTGATGGATCAAAAACTGGTATGGGAGCTTATGTGGTCAAGGATAGGGTTATATCTAAACAATATAATGAAACTTCACCTCAAGTTGTAGAATGTCTGATAGTACTGGAGGTTCTTGAGGCTTTTCCAGGACCCCTCAATATTGTATCAGATTCCTCTTATGTGGTTAATGCAGTTAATCTCCTTGAGATAGCTGGAATAATAAGATCCTCCAGCAGAGTTGCTAACATCTTTCAGAAGATACAAGCTGCCTTGTTAAATAGGAGATTTCCTGTTTTCATTACCCATGTCCGAGCACATTCTGGACTCCCAGGTCCCATGTCCTTAGGGAATGACTTAGCGGACAAGGCTACAAAGCTGGTGGCCGCTGCCTTGTCTACCCATGCACAAGCAGCAAAAGAATTCCATAAGCGCTTTCATGTGACGGCTGAGACCTTGCGCCGTCGTTTTGCTCTATCCAGGAAAGAGGCTAGGGAAATTGTTACTCAATGCCAGAATTGCTGCGAATTCTTACCTACTCCCCACATGGGAATAAACCCACGTGGCATTAGACCATTGCAGATGTGGCAGATGGATGTTACTCATATTCCCTCTTTTGGAAGGCTTCAATATGTTCATGTTTCTGTTGACACCTGTTCTGGCGTAATGTTTGCCACACCCCTAACAGGGGAAAAGGCCTCATATGTGATTCAACATTGCCTTGAGGCCTGGAGTGCTTGGGGAAAACCCAGAATTTTAAAAACAGACAATGGACCAGCATATACCTCTCAAAAATTCCGACAGTTTTGTCGGCAAATGGATGTTACCCATCTAACTGGCCTACCTTATAACCCTCAAGGACAGGGCATTGTGGAACGTGCCCATCGTACACTCAAATCATATCTGATTAAACAAAAGGGGAGTATTGAGGATGTTCTACCCTCGGTACCAAGAGTTGCTGTATCCATGGCACTTTTTACCCTTAATTTCTTGAACTGTGATGCCCAAGGCCACACTGCGGCTGATCGCCACAGTTTAGAGCCTGATAGGCCAAAAGAAATGGTAAAATGGAAAGATGTCTTGACTGATCTCTGGAAAGGCCCGGATCCTATTCTTATAAGATCCAGGGGAGCTGTGTGTGTTTTTCCACAGGAGGAAGAAAACCCCTGTGGATCCCTGAAAGACTCACTCGAAGAGCTCCTTCACAACTCCAGAATAAGAAGGATGGAGGCCAAGTGGGTGATGAAGACTCTCCTACTCGGGATGATGGTTCCTAGTATGATGGGAGAGTTACGGTGGGCCATCATGTCTACCTTCCCCTACCGATGCCAGTGATGCAGAATGCCCAGGTGTTCCCTAGATTTTTCACAAATAATAGAGAGTTGGGGCTTGCCTTTTTGCCTTTAGATCCTCAGATACAGAGTTTTCAGGATGAGAGAACCTTGTCATTAGTAGGAAGCTTGTGCTTTACTGTGATTTCTTCATTAAAGGATAATTTTATTCATATGGATCCAGAAAGATCTAATGCTAATCCTTTTGAATTAATGGAAGCTGTACTGATCTTTCTCCTATGATAGTGAGAAGGGACAGATTGGAAAGGGGCATTAGGCAACAGTCTGAGTGAGGGACAGAGCTATGGATCATCTGATTGGTCCTCCTCCAATGTTAAGTATACCCCTTTTAAGAGAACTAATTATTCAGCTGCCCTTTATTTGGGTTGTGAGTAATGATACCTTAGGTAAGAATCAGAAAGAAATAAATTGCTCTGCTTAGAATTGTTTTTATGCATTATGCTGGGATGCTATTAAGCACCCTTTTGCTTTGGTAATGCGCATGCCTCGATTTGTTCCAGTTCCTGTTGAGACGCCAAGTAATTTGAGTTTGTTTAGGGAAAAGCGAGATTTTTGGGATCTCTGCTATTATTGTGGGCCTGATAGCCACCGCCGCGGTTACTGCTTCGGTTACCGCCTCGGCCCTTGCACTTTCCGCCACTGTGCAGACAACTCAAACCATTAATGAACTATAGGCCACTGTGACCATGGTCCTAGATAAACAGGCCACTGCCAATTCTCAGATACAAGGAGGCCTGATGTTGGTAAACCAACAGATTAATTTGGTTCAGGAACAATTGGATATATTGTGGCAGATGGCCCAATTGGGATGTGAACAAAAGTTGCCTGGCCTTTGTGTCACTTCAGTACAATATGAGAATTTTACAAGAGCAGCTAACCTGTCAAAAGCTCTGTCTCAACATTTATTACAGAATTGGACTTTTGAGTTTGAGCAGACACTCCGTGAGTTGAGAATGGCGATCCTGCAAGTGAATTCGACGCATCTGGATCTTTCTCTGATGGAAGACCTCTCCCCTGGATTTCATCTGCATTTTCTTATTTTAAGGAATGGGTGGGGGTAGGATCATTTAGCCTAGTTCTCTGCTGTGGAATAGTGTTGATGCTTTGGATGGTGTGTACGCTCAGAGCCCAAACAAAAGGAGAAAGTGGTGGTGGCACAAGCACTTGCTGCCTTAGAACACGGAGCATCCCCTGACATTTGGTTAACCATGTTAAAGCAATAGGTCGCTGGCCTCCCAGCTCTTGCACCCCACGAGGCTAGTCTCATTGCACGGGATAGAGTGGGTAGGCTTCAGCAGCCCAAGGAGTTGCAAGGCTAAGCACTGCACAGGAGAGGTCTGCGGTATAACGACTTTCTCCTGGGAGATAAGTCATCTTGCATGAAGGTTCTATGTCATGATCTCCTTCCCCCAGAAAAAGACATCGGACTGGTCAGGACTTCCTCTGGGGATAAGACCCTGGAGAGGAGCTTTGTACATGTTCCGAATTTGCACATGGGGATTTGACCTCTATCTCCACTCCAAAGTTGTGGGTGTCCTATTGCTTCAAAAATAAATGAATAGGGGGAGATGTGAGGAGCCGCCCTCGCTATCGCTATTGCCGTTAGAAGATGGCGCTGACATCTGCTGTCAGTTGGAGTTAACCGTTAGAAGATGGCGCTGACATCTGCTGTCAGTTGGAGTTAACCGTTTAAGCTGTGCCTCTCCCGTGGCGTCATCTGGGGTGATGTGCAAACCACCAATCCCGGCTCTACACGTCTCACTCGGAGCTCCTAGGCTTATATAAGGGGCTGGGTTTCTTAGCTTGGGGTCTCCCTCTAAGAAGCTGATCATCTATCTCTCAAGATGCATTAAAGCTTTACTGCAGAAGGATCCGAGTGTTCTGCGTCGTTCTTGCTGGCGAGACGGTAGCGCGGGACAGGTGACAAATTCACAAGTCACAAGGATGGAATCCTTGGCTCCCTCAGGACTCACAGACAGCTCCTCCAGAAAGCCTTGCTGCTTATAGAGCCTGAGGAGGGCTTTGTGATGGAGAATTTTATCAGCTTCCTGAATCTTATAAGCCTCCCTTTTCCCTCCAGAAGTAGATGTTTAAATCCAGCTAAAGTTAAGCCTGTAACGAAATTACTGAATTAAATTTTAAGTTCCCGCAAAACCCTGGTAACTATAACATATAGTTAGCAAAATATAAAAATATACTGCGATTACCAGTTCAGTTTATTAGGTGTTTTAATAAAGCAAAACTTTATAGTGCAAAATAACATAATAAGCTTTTCATGATATGCTTACAGAATGACAGACACAGGTGGAGGCACCTTTAGTAACAGTAATACAATGCATGAGTACAGGCGAGCGCAAGACTTGACTGAAGACTGAGTAGCTTTTGATGCCGCCGAGATCCTGGCTGGAAATTACGACAGTGCAGCTTCTGAGCATTTCTCATCTTAAGCTTAACAAGATAAAAATTCCACTTTATCAGCTATTATGAAACTGTGCAGAGAATTCCTTTGGCTGTGATATTTACTCTTGCATCTCATTCCCTTTTGGAGGCCTCTTCACCCGTGAGTAGGGACTCAGTGTGTCATCCATCACAAAATCATACAGTACTTTGACCCAGGAGTTGTATTGGGGGAGTTTATCGTAGTATTCAGCTGCTATTTTCCTCACCTGGAAGTGAACACACAGTAAGGTGAACAGTGAGTGTTACTGAGGCCTCAAGAGGACAAGAGGACAGGTGGGTGTCTGACAGACAGAGGGACAAAATACCAACGAGCCAAAGGGCAATGCTTATGGTCCTTCAGCCTGCAGTCCTTCATGATGTCTGCAGATCACATGACATAAACAGCTCCATCATAATCCACACTGAACTTAGGGCAAAGCCACTGGCAATCAGAAAGATTAAACTAGAGTCCCGCCGGGCAGTGGTGGTGCATGGCTTTAATCCCAGCACTCGGGGGGGAGGGGGGGGCAGAGGCAGGAGGATCTCTGTGAGTTCAAGACCAGCTTGGTCTACAAGAGCTAGTTTCAGGACAGCCTCCAAAGCCAGAGAAACCTTGTCTTGAAAAACCAAAAAAAAAAAAAAAAAAAAAAAAAATTGCTAGAGTTCCAAATAGTAAAATGATAAAGCCGGTTCAGAGCCCGGACTTGACTCAAGACACTCCTAAGACTGAAAATGTACTAAAGATCATCTTTAGCACAAGAAGTCGATGAACTGTAGACATAAAGACGTAAAGCTAAAAACTTCAAATCCTTAATAATAAGAATTAAACCTCGGGTATTGGTCAGCAAGGTCCAGTTCACACACTGACACATAATGGCTGTGGTTCTTAGAAAGCTGTGAACAAACTGAAAAAAAAAAAAGGTATGCTTAAAAATGACTTGCCAGATTATAATGATCCCTCATGGAAGGCCTCACCCTCCCTGGGGAGTGGATGGGGGTGGTCATTGGGGGGGTATGGGAGAATGGGAGGAAGAGGGAACTGGGATGAATATGTAAAATAAGACTGTTTCTAATTTAAATAAAATACATAAAACAGTGCTTTGGCAGGGTGTGATAGTGCACTCCTTGGGAGGCAGATGCAGGCGGATCTCTATGAGTTCCAGGCCAGCCTGGTCTACAGAGCGAGTACCAGGACAACTAGAGCTGTTATACAGAGAAATCTTGTCTTGAAAAACAAAACAACAACAAAAATGTTATGTGTTGAAGCTGGAGAAATAGCTCAGTGGCTAAGAGTACCAGCTGCTCTTCCACAGAACCTGTGTAGGGTTCCCAGGACCCACATGGTGCCTCACAACTGCCTGTAATTCCAGTTTCAGAGGTTCCAATACTCTCTCTTGGCCTTTGAGGACAACAGGCATGCACATGGTACATGTACATGCTTGCAAACATACATACACATAAAATAAGAATTAAAATTAAAAAACCGCTTGTGAGGTGCAGAACTCATTAAAATACGTAAAAACCCTTTTAAAAGTTAAACTATTAACGTACATAGGGACTGTGCAATAGATGTCAGGTGGGTACTGAATAAACAGTTCCTCATAGACAGACCTCTTGGAAGAAGAGGAAAGACAGGGCTGTCCAAATCTAGGCCCGTTAATCGTGTATTGACAGACGAGAAAGGAGACAGGAAGGAGGAGCAGGCAGTGAGGTCACCAGTGTGCCACAGGCCCTAGGTAAGCACCGCCTGGACTACACGAAGTTTTTAATTTGGGGACTGGTCCAGGAAAATAGCCATATTTGACGAAAAATTTTTGCTCATTGGTTGACTGATTCTTCTCCTTAAACTGTGATTTTTTTTTTAAAGTAAGAGTTCCCTAAAAAATAAACCCAGCTCCCTTGTCACAGATGAGGGAAACATGGGCTATAAAATTATGTCTGGTAGTACACCAGCAGAATGACACCCAGAGGTTTCTCCACAGACTTGGTGCAGTTTTCTCTCCAACTGAAAAGATGAGGGCAACAGGGAGCCTTCATGTGCCCTTCACCTGTCTCCCAATTAGCCTTGGGCACACTCACGTGTGCACTCTGTAGATGACAAAAGGACTCCTTGCTTTCTTCCTTAGCTGTGCCAACTTAACCTGTATTTCACCTCCAAATACTGCAACATTATTTCCAAAGGACACTTGTCCTACAAAACCCTATGAGCGTTATACCTGGTAATCTAACCTTGACGTATATTTTTATGGTATGGATTACTCACTGAGCCAGTTTTGTTACAGGCTTTTCTTAACCACATCCAAAGAAATAATCACATACTGCAATGTTATCATGTTGTATATAATTTTTCAATTGTGTTTAAAAATTTGAATGAGTATGACATCATGAAGTATCCATTAGGGTTCCCTTATATACATAATTTTTTTAAGTAAAGAAAAACTATTTTTCATATGTATTACCTGTTTTTTTAGAATTATGGGGAGGTTTTTCTTTCTTTTTCTAACAGAACAGGCTACTTTCTTTGTTTTTGTTTTTTTTGAGACAGGGTTTCTCTGTGAAACAGTCCTTGAACTCACAGAGACCCTCCTGTGTCTGCCTCCCCAGTGTCAGGCGACTCACTCTGAGGATGGAAAGGCTGGCGGGAAGGCTCGGCAGGAAAACTGCCGAGGTTAGTAAGAGTAGCTAGTTTTGGAAAAGATGGAAAGAACGAAGGTTGCACTGTCTTCTTTTGCTTACGTCACACATAATACACTGAAGGTCTACTGTCCAGGCAGATCCCTGCCAGGAAAGGGTAACAACATGGGCACTGATCACCTGTGTGCTACAAAAGTAATAAATTTTAGCCAAGTACAACAGCTTAATGGTGATGAATGTTCCATGAACAGATACTTCCCGCACAGACCGCACAGAGCAACAGTTTTCTAATCCTGAGCTAGTTTAGCAGGTAAGAGATTTGCATGTCTGAACGCTAAGCATGACCACTAAGCATAAGGACCCAAAACAGAAGATCTGAACCCTCAGTGCAGTTAGGCTGGTAGACAAAGGATATATGTTTTCCTTTTATCTGACAAAACATACTAGATTACTTTTACAATAAGCAAGCCATGACTAATTTGACTACAACATCATCAAAAACAAAGTATCAAGTCCTTCACTTACCAGGGGCAGGTTTTTTCCAGGAACACTGGGGAAGTCATGGTGTTCATTATGGTAGCCTACATTGAAGGTCAGTAAATTTAGAGGCCCATAATATGAGTATGTTTCGTGTCCCTTTAAGAACATGTAATGTTCGGCTATAAAATGCCCAGAAATTGGGTGCAAACCTAGGCCAAGCAGGGTTGCCGCCAACATGTAGACTAAAGATTTAATTCCAAAAACATAGTAAACTATAATGTCAAAAATGATCTGGGTCACAGTATTGATGATTTCCAGAGAAGTAATTGGTTTGCGATTGATGAATAGGGGTCTAAAAGCATAAAAGAGAGGCTGAAGGACAACCCAGACAAGCTTCCTGAAAGCGGTGCAGAAGAACCAGCCCTCAAAATTGGTAGGAATATCCACATCGATGCCATCAGCTCCCAGGTATCGATGGTGGTCCATGTGGTATCTCTTAAAAGAAATGGAATATGGAACTCCCAAAGGGAGGTTAGCAAATATTCCAAACCAGCGATTCCATAGCGATTTGTGGTGGCCGAAGGGGAAATTGTGAGAAATCTCATGGATCCCCAGAGTCATTGAGTGGTTAAGGCAGCTGCCAAAGACATAAGACCAAAATATGACCCATTTCCAGTCCAAGTCTTTCACTAAGTAGAAGGAAACCAACTGGATGAGAACCATCCCAGTTATGATCCAGATCAGGTTGGGGTCAGGTTTCATCAAGGATTTGATCTCTGGATACTTTGCTATAAGAAAAGAAAATACAAGTCAGGAACAAAGAAAAGCACACAACAGTTTGACAACTATAATTAATGCAATTAGATTTTTCCCTTTTCTAAATCATAATACTTCCCCCTTATAGACTTTAAAAAATATTCATTTCCTAATGGGAAGGAATACATTCTGATAAGAAAGTCACAAAATAGCATGACACAACAATTTATGCGACAAAAATTAAACAAGCTGGACATTCCAAATTCTCTTATATTAAAATAATTACATCTATGCTTACACAAATACACACATATTTTCTCTTTATTTTTTGTTTTTATATGTGTGAGTGTTTTGCCTGCATGTATGTCTGTGGGCTGTGTGGGTTCAGTGCCTACAGAGGTCAGAAGACGGTATGGAATCCCCTAGAACTAGAGTAACAGGCAGTGTGAGCAACCATGTAGCACTGGGAACCAAACCTGTGTCCTCTCTAAGAACAACACTGAACTAAATCTAACCGAAGCTCTGGCATAGTTATCTTATATAAACCATTAAATTATCACAGCTGACACAAGAAAGAACATAACATTTCTTTTTATAGATCTTCAAATTATAAAACTCATTTTCATGGTTCTCTCAGACCAATAAACTTCCTCCAAGTAATTCTACACTGAATCTTCCCAGAACTTTAAGACAAACTGGCACAGTGACACACACCTCTATCTCAGCATGCAGGAGACTGAGATGGCTAGTAAACGCCAGGCTAGTGTGAACTACAAAGTAAGATCCTGTCCTAAAAGGAAACAAACAAAGCAAAACAAACTCCCCAAGCCCATGTATAGGGGCCTCATATAGCAGCCGGAAAGGAAACCAAAACAAGTGCTTACCAACAAGAGAAACCAACACACTGGACCCCCTCCCTACACCAAAAGAGTTAACCCAAAATGGGCCATAGATCCAACAAAATTGTACAACTCAAGAAAAAAACGGTAAACTGAACCTGCATTATAATCTTTTTTCCGGATGGGCAGCACTGGGGAGGTCTACTTTAACCCCAACACTGGGGAGCAAGAGGCAGGCAGATCTCTGTGAGTTCCAGGCCAGCCAGGGTTGTTACACAGAGAAAGCCTGCCTTGAAAAACAAAAAAACCAAACCCAAAAAACCAAAACTTCTTCTTTTTTTATAACAATACCATCAAAAAGAGCAGGTGACAATCTAACAGACAGGCAGATACATTTGCAAGTCACCTATTTCATAAAACAATCATTATCTAGAATATGTAACGAACACTTAAAACTCAACTGATAACCCAAAAATTAAAAAGGCAAAAAAATTTAATAAAAAAGATTTATAAATGGCACCGCCTCCCAAAAACCACATGAAAGATACTTGACATCATTAGGAAAATACAGAGACCATAAAACCGTTGTCATTTAAAAAGACAGTTGTAGCTCAATGGTAGAGCATCTGACTAGCATGCCTGAGGTCCTACACTGAATTTTTAGTACAAGTAAGGGTGGAGTCAAAAGGAGAGTTTAGTGGGTAACCCTGAGGTTATTCCTTTGAACCCACACAGAAAGCATGGTGTGGTGGTGCACATGGTGCACATCTGTCAACCCAGCAGGAGTATGGCAAGGGAATGTGCTGAGACAGAAGACTGTTCCAGAAAAGCTAGGAAGCTTTGGGACCAGCTAGCTTGAAATGGCCAGCACAGAAGCAGAAACAAGACAGATCCTGCGTCAAAGCAATGTGGTAGGAGAAAGCCCGCTCCAGGAAAGCTGTCTTCTGACCTCCACAATTCGTGTGTGTGTGTGTGTGTGTGTGTGTGTGTGTAGCACACACACATGCCTACACATGAAAAGACAGGCAGTAACTAGGTAGTGGAGAAACCAGAATCTTCAGGCACTTTTGATGTAAGTGTAAAATATCGGGCTGGAGAGATGGCTGAATGGTTAGGTGCACTGACTGCTCTTCCAGAGGACCAGGGTTCAATTCCCAGCTCACAACTGTCTGTAACTCCAGGATCCAAAATCCTCACACAGCCTTACTTATCGGTAAAACACTAATAAAATTTTTAAAATGTAAAATGGTTTAGACTGACATTTAACCAAAATGCTAACAAAGAACTGCCAAAATGATACCCAAAGGAAAAGCATCCATACCTTGTACACGAATGTTCAAAGGAACATCATTAAAAACAGTTGCAAGGGGAAAAACATGCTCAAATGTCTATCAGATACCTACTAAGTAAAATCACCATACACGGGAGTATTAAAGGCTTGGTCCCCAGTTGACGGATCTGATCACTGAGAGGATCCTGAAGGCTCCAACCCAATCAACAGACTAATCTCTCCAAGGATTCACAAAACGATGGCATACAGGGAGGAGGAGCTGGTCACCAGAAGCATGCCACAGAAGTCATGCTCCTGCCTGCTCTCTCTCTCTGCTTCCTGGCTAGCACGAATGGGAATCAGCTTTTTTTTTTTTTCTTCAAGCCCTCTTCACCATGATTTTACCAGATCCCCACCCAAAAACAATGGCAGCCGGATCACCAATGGAAGCCATCAGCCAAAGTCAGTCTTTTCTCCCCTGTGTTGCTCGGGCATTTATCACAGCAGTGAGGCAATGACTAGCCAAACCTAAGAGCCCAAAGCAACTGACAGGACAACCGCTGATGAAGTTTCACCTTTCCGACCTAGTCACTCAATTCAAGTTCTGCAGAAGAAGCCAGGGGAGCAGCTCTGAGGTGGAGACCCAACCAGTACCAGGAATCCCTGAGTCTGAATTCCAGGACTAGGAAAAAAAATCCACTTTAAACGGCATCTATCCACTCTTATCTGTGAAACACGACATTTCTAAGTTTAGCTACTACTGAACAAACCAGGACCTCACCCACCCAATGGGCAAAGATTTTTAAGAAAGAGTGTAAAAATGGTGTATATAAGACGATTCCTCGTATTTAGTGGCCTTTTATTGATTTCCTCAATTTTTTAAAAAACAGCAAAAGTTAGAAAAAAACAAAACCTTTCGATCTCTATCTAGCACCAGGAAGAAAAAAAAAGCATAGTCTTCGGCTGCAATCTAACCCGGATGGGAATGGTCTTCATAACATTGCCCCACACACACCTTTTTTAAAAAAATGCCGGCCAGACGAGGACTGGAAAGGGAGAATTAAAATGGATAACCCAAGAACATTATCAATCCCCTTAAAAGCAGTGACGAGACTTCTCCATGCCACTCGGAAACCCCTAACAGGCTCCAGACTCAGTTAGGCCTAAAGTCCGGGAGGCTAAGCCTCGCTCGCGCCGTTGCTAACCATCCGGTCCGGCAGATAAGTGGGAAAGGACGCCCCGGAGGAGCCGTCCAGTCTGCGAAGTCTCGGGCTACCGGGAGCTGGTCCCCCGCTAGGCCAGCGGCTGCCGGGGCCACGTGATCAAGGATCCCGGGGCCCGGGGATGCCCCAGGACCACGCCCTGAGCCTAGCGGGCGCTCCGGCTCGAGCCCACTCACCCCTCCCGCCGTGGGGGGGGGGTGTCACTCTGGCGTCGGGACAGCAGGAGGCGAGCCCGGGTCGCCCTACCGAGGAACCGTCAACTCCACAGGCCGGCGGGGGCCGCCAGCGCCCGACACCGGAGGGACAGCGGCGCGCGGGGGCGCCTAGGCCCCCATCCCGCCGGCCTTGGGCCCGCCCGGAGCCCGCCCCGCGCCCGCACTCAAACAGCCGAGCGTCTGGAAGGAGCCTCGGAGGCCGAGCTCACTCGGCGCGCGGGAGGCCGCGCAGGGCCCGCACACGGCCGCGCGCACATAACGGGGCTCCGGTCCTCACCCAGGATCTCGCGGCGCCGGTCGGCGTGCGGCTGGTCCGAATAGACCCACTCGAAGTCCTCTCGGGACACGTAGTTCCCCATGGCGGCAGCGGCGGCGCCCGGACCCGCTCAGCCTCTCGCTCGCGTCCGGGCTGCGCTCAAGTGGCGGAGGTGGCCGCTCGTTTCCCGGCTGGTGTAGGTCTGCGGCGGGGACGCGGGCGGGGGCGGGGTCTAAGGCCCCGCCCCGCCGTGACCACGCCCCGCCCGGGAGGCCTGCGAAGCGGCGCCTGGATTCCGTGGCCAACAATGTTGCCTGCTCACAAAGCCTGGGAAAAGGTGAAAAGGGAGCGAAAAGTCTGAGGCCCGATAAGGCTGCCGCTTTAGCGCCTCCGTGGGTGGAGTGTTTCGGGGCGGCTACCTCTCCACGAGCCCAGAAGATCACCGGCTTGATTAAATGGCAAAGGGCCCAAGTTTCGTTTAAATTTTAATAGCACATTATCCGTTGTGCCATGCATGATTGGTTGCCTTCTCAAACTAACTCCGGAAAAATAAAAACCTTTCTGATTGCTCTTCTCTCTCCTCCCTCCCTTATCCTCCCCCCCCCCATTATATTTGCTTTGTTTACTTCGCTTTTGTTTGTTGGAGTAGGGTCTCACTACCTAGCCTAGGCAGTCCTCCAACTGGCGGTCTTGCTCTTGCCTCCCGGTGGAATTTCAGGCTTGTCTCAGCTTGGTATCAAGAATAGGGAAGGGAGAGATGGGGTGGAGTTTGTGGCTCTGAATTTCCCTTGTTCTGAGGGTTGCTTAATCATATGTGTCACAGAAGTGATCGTCTGAAACTTCCTGCGAGAGACGTGTGTCTGTTGCGGGAGGAGGGTGATTTTAAAATGTGTTACTCCTTCACTAAGGAACTATAGGGATTGGGGGTGTCCTAGTTGATAGGCTAGAGCCCTGATTTCATACTTGGAGCCAGGGAGTGAAAGGAACTGCTAATTAAGATTACACCCTGGGGAAAGGAGTGGGGATTGGGGGTGGGAGGGCGTGGGAGGAGGGGAGGGAGAGGGAGCTGGGATTGACATGTGAAGCAACCATGTTTCTAATTTAAATAATAAAAAAGAGATTACGAAGATTGTTCGGTAGTAGCTCAGGCTTTTAATCCCAGAACTTCTAGGCAGAGGCAGGTGGATCTGTGAATTCAAGGCCAGCCTGGTCAACAGAGCAAGTTCCAGGTAATGCAGCCTTAACAAGAGAGGTGAAGAGACAACCAGATGTCCAAGTCTGATGAGTCTGCAGATACAACAACTGCTGTATAAGAAACTATAAATAACGTAAGAATCCACTAAACTATATTACAGGATACGACCTTGTGGGCTCTGTGTTCTCTAATTTAAAAAGGGAAAAACAAGTTAACTGAATTAAAAGATAAACTAACCAAGCTGCGATGCTTATTTGTTCCAAAAGGTTAAAAATGATATGATATTATTAAAGGATATATATACACACATGCATATTATATATACACATACACTAGTGTGTGTGTGTGTGTGTGTATGTGAGAGAGAGAGAGAGAGAGAGAGAGAGAGAGAGAGAGAGAGAGAGAGAGCATAAGAATGCAATTGCTTTCAGAGGTCAGAAGAGGATATCACATCCCTTAGAACTAGAATTGCATGCAGTTGTGAGACACTTACCCCCCATGTGTGCTAGGAACTGAGCTCTGTAAGAGCAATAGACACTTTTTAACTGTCAAGACATGTTTATTACTAAAAATAAAAGCAACTGAAGCTTATCCCAGGGTGACCTGTCAGCACAGGAACACCCGTGATGAAGTGTGTTAATATCTTCTCTGCTTCTCACCGGCTGCCATCTTCCACAAAAAGTAAATTTTAGTTTAAGTTAAAAAGTGGTGATGATGAAAAGAAAGTGGTCTCTACCCCCTTCCTGTTCAATCTGAAGACTGCATGGGGCTACATTGTGGACAGCCTGCACTTCAGGTGCTGTGGTCCAGCGTCCACCAAGGGGTCGTGTGTCAGGACCTCTGGCAGGTGAGGTGACACAAAGACGTCACGCTGAAGCTTGGGTGGGTCCAGGGATCCTGACAGAATGGAACCCTCGTGGTCATCATCAAAGGTCTGTGTCTCAAAGGCTGCAAGGCTTGGAGTGGCATCGTTCTCTGAGAGCTCCTGGGAGCTGGCCCTTTGTAGGTTTGCATACATCAAATCTCACCCACCCATCACCGACACAGTTCTGAACTTCTGGACGACTCTGAATCAGGCTGTGGATGGTTGGATGAGGAAACTCAAAGAAGTCAGCACCACATGAAAGTGGGTTAGGCATCAGTGTCCCGGCTGTAGCACTGACGGCCCTTCTTCATAGCACGCATCCGGGGTCATCTTCAGGAACAGTTTCAAACTGGGGCTGCATACCACCATTCTTGAGCTGACAGATATGTACACTTCTGGTCTGGGCACTTCATGGGGCATACACTCAGGTACTACGATTGCCCACAGGGTAGATGGCAGTCTCATTATGGACACCAGGTCAGCTGGTGATGGATCTCCCCAGGCTGTGTACCGTTAGACCCAATGGGCCACCAGTCGTGCAGCCAGGGATCCAGGGCATGGTGGAACCAGCTTGTGCCTCCTTCCTTTTTCTTTTTCTTGGATGTTGTCTTCAGAGCTTCCAGTTTGTCGTTCTCTTTGCTCTTTTCTTTTTTCCTCCTCCTTGGATTTCTTCCCAAATGGTTCCGTGGCCCCAGTGCTGGGCCCAGCTCCCTGTATAGCTCCCTCAGAGCTGGCCACACCATGAGCCAGGAACAAACTGGAACAGTGGGAAGGAGCTCTGGCCTGTGGATCCCCTTCAGTTAGTTACAGCCTAAAGCTGCAAAAGCTTCATCGGCACAGGCTGCTCTTCCAGAGGACCTGAGTTCAATTCCCAGCAACCACATGACCTGCAGGCATAACACCATATGCGTAATAAATATATAAATCTTAAAAAAAATTTCCTCAAGATGAGCAATTTTATCACAAATAGCAGCGTTTGCAAACACCATGGCCTTGGCCACTTTATGCAGTCTCAAGCACTTCAACCGGACCTTCTCATCCTGGCTCTTCTTCGGAAGCTTTTTCACCCTGGCCTTGCTGGACAGCTGGCTGCTGGGCTCAGAAGCCAGGCCGCCACCCAGCATGTTCATGATCCACCCCCAGCTCAGGGGACTTTGGGATTAGGAAGGCATGGAGGGTTGGTAAAAGCAATTGGTGCTCGAACTAATCGCCGTCAATCACTGAGTCATCTCTCTAGTCCCTAAAGTCAGTTAGTTCAGGTATCATTTGGATGGGTGAAGGTATGAAGAAACTCTTGCTGGGTGTGGTGACCCAGTTGTACGTGATCCCAGCTGCACAGAAACCTAAGGTAGATAGATAACAAGGTCCAGGATTGCTTGGGCTACAGAGCCAATGCAAAAAACGACTCTGGGAAAATCAGCAAAACCCAGTGCCCTCCCTGCCCCTCCCAAAGAGAAAATACTGGAGATAGAGTTCAGTGATAGAGTTTCCAGTAAGACGCTAGGTTCAGGATCTACCACCTCCAAAAAACCAAAAGCAAAAAAGCAACAACGCCTTATAATTTCTTATAATAGTGCTTATTTTTTCAAGCAGTTCACACTAAAGAAAAAAAGCCGGGGGCTGGAGAGATGGCTCAGAGGTTAAGAGCACTGGCTGCTCTTCCAGAGGTCCTGAGTTCAATTCCCAACAGCCACATGGTGGCTCACAATCATCTGTAATGAGATCTGGTGCCCTCTTCTGGCCTGCAGGCATATATGGAGGCAGAGTGTTGTATACATAATAAATAAATAAAATCTTAAAAAAAAAGAAAGAAAACAGCCAAAACAACTGAAGTACAGTACAAAAATAAATTTCAAGCTACATTGCACTGTGCTACACAATGATTCTGCCTGGAAATGTAAAAGAATGGGGCCAGAAGTGAGCTCAAAGGCAGAGCTTCTAAGTGCCATTCACATGGCCCTAGGTTCAACCCCCAGTACCTAAAGGGTGGGGATGTAAAAGAACCTGGAGTAGTGTTGGGATAGCCTTGTGGTAATAGCAGTCAGAAAGATGAAGCAGGAAGATAATGAGGTTGAGGCTAGCCTGTGCTACATATGGAGAGCCTGTTTCAAAATTTTTTAAATGAGAAAGATTTTGAACTATTAGATAGTTATGGGTACTACTTTAGTTATAGCTAAGTACAATTTGATTGATTGATTGGTTTGTGTAACCTTGGCTGTCCTGGAACTCCATCTGTAGACCAGGCTGGCCTCAAACTCACAGAGATCCACCTGCCTCTGCTGGGATTAAAGGCGTGTGCCACCAACGCCCGGCAGTTCTTTTTTTATTATTGTTACTTTAATTTTAAATAGCTTGCTTCACATGTCAATCCCAGTTCCCTCTCCCTCCCCTCCTCCCACACCCACCCTCGCTATTCCCCCCCAGCCTCCCACCCTATCCCCACTTCCTTCCACATAGGGGATCTCCAGAGTGTGTTATGGACACACGATGTCTGTTTGTATTCGAGGGATAAACGCTGATCCACTGCCCAGGGCCCATAGGTAGCCCAGGCCTCCTCACTGACTCTCATATTCGGGGGGTCTGGATCAGTCCCATGCTGGCCTCCCAGCTGTCGGTCTGGGGTCCAAGAGCTCCCCCCTTGTTCAGATCAGCTGTCTCTGCTGGTTTCTCCAGCCCATTCTTTGCCAATTTGCTCATCGTTCCTCTCTCTCTGCCACTGGGTTCCAGGGGTTCAGTTCAGTGTCTAGCTGTGGGTGTTTGCCTCTGCTTCCATTAGTCACTGGATGAAGGTCCTAGGATGGCATATAAGGTAGATGTCAAGTTCATTACCAGGAATAGGCATTTAAGGTGGTCTCTCCACTATTGCTTAGCTTGCCAGTTGGTGTCATCCTTTTAGATCGCTAGAGGTCTCACTGGTGCCAGATCTCTCTTCAAATCTATGACTCCCTCAACTATGGTATTTCTCATCCTGTTCTCCCCCTATTTTACCCCCCCCAACCTTCCTGTTCCCCCATGACCTACTCTCTTTTTAAGGTTCTTAATGTATATGCATAGAAAAGCTAACAGAGGTATACATTCAAGCCTTTGAGGTTAACAAGCTCTTATTTTCCTTTCTGTCTTTCACACCTCTTCCTTGCCCAGGAATCTGCAA